AATGGTATAAAATAAAGGGAATTCAGATCAGACATGGCTGGATTTTATGCCAGTGAAAACCCAAAGCATTCTGGCTAGTCATTGAGGAGTTTAGGTTTAATATACCTAACCCTAGCCAGGCTGGAGGGCTTCCAAATACCATGATATAGTGGTGTGCTGGGAGGGAGAAGGGGAACTTCACACAGAAACAATCCCCAAAGCTGTACTCGTGAGATGCTCCAAGGCAGTGGAAAAAAAGGGGGGCAGCAACCTGGGATGGCCAATGGAGGGGACCTGCGCCCCACACAAACAGGGAACACCAAGCTTAGCCACAAAGGTCTCACAACAGCAGGGCACAAAACTGCCTCTGCTGCTCCTTATCCGTTTCCACTGGGTGGGCTTGGTTTCCAGACTCCATTAATCATTCTGTTTTGCAAACCTTTAACCTTCACATATTAAAACACACACACATGCACAAACACACACAAAACTGAAACATGGGAATGACAGATTTGTGTGCCCTGAGGAAGCACCTAATTCATATGCCTTTCAAGGGACAGCTCTTGATTTATACAATTGCATAGATTCCCCAGGAGAGCTGCAATCTAGCTCTTCAAGGCAGGGGCGTGGGAGACAGGAGATGTGGACTGCTTTTCCTCTCTCACTGGTTCACAGAGCCAGCCTGAAGAAGTCACTTGTTCTTGTAATGTCTCAGTTTACTGGTGGCACCACTGTGACATCCCTGTGAACTGCTACAAAGTTCATAATAATTACAAAAAGGCCATTATGAAGTCACTCAGCTCAGAGGCTGAATCTTGCAGACTGCTGTCAGCCTCCGGCTGTGACAGAGTGCTCTTGTGCTGGGCACCATCCAGCCACGATGCACCTACCCCGAGCAGCCTGTGAGATAAGACACACACACAGGAAAATGCACAGAAAGATGCCGTTTGTCCATGTCAACATGGCAAGCCAGTGGCACACACAAGGATGGAGCTGCTGCTTCTGTGTCTAGACCAGTTACCCAGCTTTGGAAATTCAAAGGGCAGCTTCCCCAGTGCCACCCAGAGGGTCGGCTTGCACAGTACTAATGCCTCAGCTTTGGTAGACTGCTCTGTGATCGGCTCTTAGGCCATACAATCCCGTTCCAGCCCCATGGACGCTGATTCACCCCCAGCCCCACAGTTTTTTTATCTGGATGAGGAGACCAGTCTGGTTCTGCCCAAGGTCCTGCCAGCAGCTGGGTCAGCACAGCTGGGAGCTGGCCCTGGGCTCAGAGGGGAGCGACTGGCACTGTCACCAAAGCACTGCCAGCACGTGGCGTCAGGTGCCTGGGCACTGCTCAGAAAGAACCCAGAGCAGATCAATGACTCCATATGGAGACATCATCCCTACACAAATGGGATCACAACCACACAGAGAAGGGAATCCTGCAGCAGCCAAGTGCCACACCAACACACTCAGCATGGGGCCCCTTTCTCCAGCATCCACTGTTTGCCCCTTCTCAGCCCAAAGGCTTGTTCTGTCAGAAAACACAAAAGGGGAACTGCCCGAGACTAGTGCTTAACTTCAGCTGTGCTCACACATGTGCGTTGTAAAGAGCTGCAGGCTTTTAAGTCTTTATTTTCTAAACAAGAGCTTTCAGGTGGTGGTGTGCTTTAGTATACATTGGGCTGTTGGAGAAGGAGAATCTCGAGCTAGTCACAAGTCATCTCCAAGTCTTAGTTCTCCATCAGTAAACTTGGTATCCATTTGGAAGGCTGTAGGGCTTCGTTAGGCAATGGAGAGATGATTGCACAGTATCACCTTTGCTTCACAAGTGATGCTCATCAGCTGAGCTGTAGCAACAGTACAAGCTCCTAACCTGGTTAAAGTGCTTTTGTGTTTGTGACCTTCCTGGCACCAGCATGTTATTCAGAGTGGAGGGAATGGGGAGATACTTCAGTTATATACTGCAATTTTATGTTGTATATTGCAGGCATTTTATTAAGCTTTTGGTTTTGCAGAGGATGGGGTGATGAGGCTATGAGAAAAGACGACACTGAAGCAGGAAGCCAAGGGTCCCCCCCGTGGCTGCACGGCCTCCATCTGCGGAGCAGAGGCAACCAGGAGGGAACCACACTGCAGGGCTGGGCATGGGACTCGCTGCAGGGAGTGAAGATCACTAAAAATGTGGCAGCTTGGTAGTGTTATCACTCGGACTTTGTTTCAGAAACTTGATGCTTGAGGTACCTGCACCCCCTCTATCCCCTATTCCCAGAAGTCTGTCTCCGGACACTGTCGTGAATCTTGGAGTTCATTTCCTGGTTAAACAAACAGCAATTAAATAACACAAGAGGGGTAACGCCTAGAGACGCCGTCTCAAACGCACCCTAGACAGCCCCTGTGGCACTGGGGTCTCTGTGCTAAGACACATTAATCACCAGAGGAATTACAGAGTGCGACGCTGTGTGCATGCAGAGGGACAGCAGGCCTGGCCTGACGGGGAAACGCTCGCTGCTTCTCGGCCCTGCAGAGCCGGGCTGGTCCACAGGGGCAGGGCTGGGCGGCCAGCGTGGGGCCAGTGACCCAGATGACACACAGCCCTGTCACTTGCTCTGCTAGACCTGTGTAGAGAAGATGAGAGAACAGAAAAATCAGTGCCTCTGGTGTGTTCCCACAGCAGCTGGGACAGCCAGGAGAGCCACATCATGGCCTTCAAGAGATGTTTACAAAGTGAAAGCGGGGGGAAGGGGCAATCAAGTATTTGCTTCCAGCAAATACTGGGAAGTGAAGCTAAGGAAAAAATGTAAGGCCTTCCTAGTGCACTATTATTAAACTGTAGTGTAGTTCTCCAAATGTAAGTGATTCAAAGCATGCTCTTTGGCACCCATCAGCTAAAAGGAACAAAGCACTAGGGGACATACCCTCAGACTCCTGGTGCTGATGGAGAGATGGATTAGACATCTGAGGCTGATGAATAGTTCACTCTCTGTATTTCCTTTGGCTCGTGCAATCTTCACTTGTGTACCAGTAAAAGTACACAGGAATAAACTAAAGATGAAAAAAACATTGCTGTGACACTGTTCATTTTCTGTACATGAAGCCTCATTCATTTAACCCATCATCATCAGAGCTCAAGGACTTTTGCACTCATATTCACTACTGATCAGATCGTAATCCTCCTTGGGGTCCATCACCCCCAGGGTGAAAACTCGCAGAGCTGCAAGGGATCTTTAGTCTCCTCAGAAACAGCAGCTTTTCCTTGCTCATGTGTGCAGTCAATGCTGACGTCTATTTGCTGCATGCTTTCACTGGCCCTTGGTTCCTCTAAAACAGGCAGTGGTGACTTCACTTGTTGGTGCTCGAATTCCTTGCTTTTGTAATGAACACCTAAAGTTATTAAAACCAGAAGAATCTTAAAAGTATAACTTCTATTCCATCACATATTCCTCTTTTCATTTATAGATGTTGGGCTGTGAAATTGCTTTGATTATGTTTCAGTTGACCTTGCTACTGGGTTTTTTACACTTCAAGTATCCATATGACTGAACTTCAGTGCTCAGCACTTCAGGGAATGTTTCATTCTTTCCTACACTGCTTGCAGCTTACTGCAGGCAGAATGAACCAGAGACTTTGGGAGGGGTAGAAAATCTTGAAATACAGAAGCTGATCCTTCTATAGGTACAAAAGGTGGCAGGTGGGTCACTGTGATTATGGAATGGGACTTGGAGCAGCTCAGATACTTCCATCATGTGCCAGCATACCTGCATCCCACGGGAATGCTCATGAGGAGGAGCGATGGCGAGTACAAACTCTGTAATGCGTTTAGTTTGAACTGGCTTAGATGTTTTTTACCGCTCAGATCTGCTACTACAGTGTAAATCCTGATTGTGTATCTGATACATCAGGTGTGATTTGGGAAGTCAGCATTTGTGGGAAGCTGAATTTGGGTTTTGGGTCCTAACAGTACTTTTTATGAGTGGTCCCAATTAAGCTTCGTGTTCCCTGATCCCTAGCAGCCCCCTCATGCAGAATTTGTGGAGGAAATAGAGCCGCAAACTTTCCACCTGACTGTTCCACCAAGGGACTGCATCCTATCTCAGCAAGTCCCAGTCTCTCCAGAACAGGCTTTCAGAAGAAGGGTCTGTAAGCAATGGCTTCCAGCATTACCTGGTCTGGCAAACGATGTCAGGAAGTCTTGGTGCTGCACTCATCTCCCCTGAGTCCACTTTAGGTCACTGAAGGCTGCTTTTCCTTACTGCTACTGGACTGCTGTTTTCGTTCCCTGTTTCACCACTGCTAAGCAAGTCAAACTTTTCCCAGTAAATTCCTTTCAGTAAGTATTTCCATGCCTTGGTCACTTCTTACCATAAGGAGGAGTCACAAAATAGGAGCAAAATACCCTAATTAGCCACTTGTGCCTCAGAGCCATACACTTGCTTCCCTCACAGATTTCCGTGTCTTCCGAGTTGCCTACCAGTGAGGTGGATGCCACTGAGATTTCAAACAGTGCTGTCTGCTGGAGTACTGAACTGTTTGCTTTCTCAGATATTTATGGCCATTTAGCTTAGCCATTTTGTTTAGCATGCAATAAAGCCCTTTGCCTTGTTTGCCCCCACAGGTCTCACAGCAGTCAGAACAGTTTGGGATATGACCATTTTGATAAAGAACTCCCTTTTCCGTGTAATTAAGAGCACCAAACATGTGGTATGAAGCTAGCCTACTCAGAGCTAAGCACTGTCTGCTTCTCTGACAAATTCTGGACCTGTAAAAATCAGCAGAAAATTTCTGTCCTTCTTCAATAAGAACACATTTTTCAAACCTGGTATCTGCCTTAGCAGCTGTTATATTATATTGTATTACTAGTATCTGGATTGCTGAAACACCCTGTTATGGAAAGGACTTCAGGCCAGACAGTGAACAACAAAGAAGAAAAGCCTGGCCACTCTGAAGGAACATGTCAGTTCAAAGAGCTCTCTAATACAGCTTTACTTCTCGGAATGAGACATGTCCTAATTGTCTCTGGTTTTTGCTCTTGACAGAAAGAAGGCCAGTCCAGAGCTTACCTCATTGCCCAGGAGCTGATGTCTTCAGAAAGAGGGTGAGTTCCTTGTTACGATCTATCTGTCACTTTCCTAAAACTGAAGCTACAGAATCCACCCTTCCGCATTCGTTTGACAGCAATTAATAAAAGTTTGTCTCTTTCCCCAGATACGTGGAGATGCTCCAGCAGCTACGTATGGTAAGTAAATGATTTTAACACTGAAACTTAATTGCCCTTTTACGTAGATAGAATTTAGAAGACATAAAAGCGTTGAATAGACTGATGCGAATTTGAAGAGGAATAGCTTACTGTGAACCATTGCAAAGAAATATATTTGCCACTAATCTGCTCTTGCTACCAATCCTCAAATCTAGTGTATGTAATTTATAGGGAACGTGTTGGCCAACAGTGCTTGCTGGGGCTCTGAGACTGGTGGTAAGAGGTGTAGAGGAGGAGACGGTGATTAACAGGGATGAGCCAACTCTCTTCAGAGACAGGAACAGAGCTGGGAAGCATGGGGATTTGGTTTGAATGGATTCACTCTGCTTTATTCTAAGCTTCTTTTTTTGATAATGCAGTATCCAGCATGGCCTGGATAACCAGACTGTGACACAGGTAGTCACCACGGGCAGAATACAGCCTCTGGTGTCAGCAAATCATGAGGGAACACACACCAGGAATCACTTGCAGTACCTGACTGAACTCTTGCACGGTATGAACGCACGAGCAGCTCTGTCCTGGGAGGCTTGGTGTCCCTTTAACAGAGCTGCCGCTGCTTCCCTGGGGACTGGTACATGGCCTGGGTGCCCTGGCTCCCAGCAGCTTTCTTGGCCGTTAGCTGCAAGCCGGCAGGGAGTAATTGCCACCACACAAAGCATGCCCGCTGCTGCTTGGAAAGACATTGCCTGAGAAGGCAAAAAGTAGCCCCAAGTTGTCCTTGGAGGACAGCCCAGATCCCAGCAGTGGACAAGACTGCTGCAGGCTGATGTCTGCGTGGCAGCCACCTGCAACAGCGGCACTCAGCAATAACCTGCAGGTCTCTCTGCTGCGATCACATTCAGTCTGGAAAGCACAGTCCCAGCACTGTTACCTTTCCCACCCTGACTACTGCTGGATCTTTATAGTCACCTGTGGCCCAGTGTCTTATTCCAGAAATCTAGAGAAACCATCACCAATTTTACAACATGTAAGTCTCTCAGACTACAGGGGTATTATTGCCTAACTGAGGATTTTCAATACTGTCATTAGTGCAAAAAGTTACAATGAACTAATTACGCCTTTTTGCGTATTTGAATAGCATTAGGAACAGTCAGATCAGTGAAAAATGGTGCTTTGCTGTGCACTGGCTGTTGACACAGGTCTCACTGGCAGATGTCACAAGCAACCACCACTGACCAGAGTCACGAAACTGCCCTCAAGGTACAACACCCCATTCGTGGCCAGTTAGGACCAAATGCTGCCTCCACAGCGTACCTCAGCTTAGGGAAACATTTCTCTCTGTTCCCCTTTACCAACTTTCTCATGAAAACAGTTTCTAAATACTCATCTTCAAGTCTCGTCTTCTTATGTAAACGCACACGTTGGTAAGAAAGGCAAGGAACTAAACCACACCCTGGCTGCTTTCAGAAAGGAAAAAAAGGCTTTTCCTAAGCCTGCAGCAGGAGCAGTTTCCCATCTCATTTCCAGTCTTGGCTGGAGCTGCTATTCATTCAGCATAACAGAATCTGTTTGGCCTTTCAGCAGAGACTTTAATAAATTGATTGATTGCCAAAATGATGACATTTCCATACACCCACTCTGCTATTGAACTGAAAGAGTGGAAACATTGTGTTAGCTCACAAACTCGGTATCAGTTGGTGTGGTAGCAGTGATAATAATCTAAAGGGTTAGCTGTTATTTGCCCTGCTCAGCGGTAATGCAGAGCTCCTTCTGGACAGCGCAGATGGGACTCGCAGGCCAAGCCCCTGATCTCTCGGTACTCACAATTCAGTTTTCCAAAGCCTTTGCATTTCCTTCACGATCATTTAATCCCCAAACTTGGTCATTCTTCTCTCCTATTTTTCTCTCCCAGTAATGCTGGCTGCATTTGTCAGCTTTTTCTTAGTGCCTGCTCCTGAACAAAAATGCTGCAGGTTGCTTCCTCAGCCTAATGCTTCACACACCACCTTTGAGGACCAAGAGTCTGGTTTATTTGCTTCCCTCCAGCCAGTCTGTTTCAAATGACTTTATAGGTGTACACAAATCAAATGTAGTGTGACTCAGACTGCCTCAGGATCCCAGTCTGTATGGGATCAAGCATTTGCTTGACAGTGTACCATGTTAATTTATTTAGTCTTTGGCTTTTGTGCATAAAATCACCTTTCTGTGCTTAAAGACCTTTGAAGTCTTTATTACTTCCCTCTGAGGCATTTACTGAATTAAAGTACCTAAAAAGACAGCTCCACACTGAAAAAACACCAGCCCCAACACCACCCTGTTCAGAGAAAGTTGATCCTGTTTCCTGGTTTGCATTTTCCATGTAAAAATCGGCCACAATTCTTAGAAACACCAAGACCCAGATTTATGCTTCCTCAGCATTTGAAGATATGGATATGAATACTGTATAAATAGATATAATGTGCTGGTTCTCCAGCCTTTGGGGCAGTTTGGGATCTAACACTGTACTGGGCATCCCAAGGCTTCTGACTGCAAAATAAATCTTAGGAGATAAAAAAGGACAAAATCATCTTGGTGCTCAAGTTACTAATTCAGAGGTACCTAAACACATGAAGCCAGGCTCACTGGTTAAATTCTACTTTCAGAATCTTGTGGGCAGCTCGTTCTCAAGAACAAAAAATAAGCATCTGCTTTAGGAGCTGCTATTGCATGCTAGATAAAACAGAACTCCATCTTTCTAATTATTTACACTTCCAGTGAATGATTGGCTGAGCCTTTTTTACTACTGTGAATTTCTTAGATGATGTTCAAAGTTCTGCTGGACCAATCAAGTCATTACTTTCCTAATTAAATGCTTTAGTGAATGGAACGTGCTGGTTAAATGAAGAGCTAGCTGGCTGTTAGGCCCTCTGAAGCTCTTGTAAAAGCCTAACGATGCCGTGTCTCAAAAGAATAGCCTGCCCTCACAGTAGGCTGTTTTTTTCTCTCGTTTATTTATTCATTGCTGTGGCAGTGGGAAAATAGCTATGTATCAGCCAGGGAGCTTCTGCAGTGGGAATGTTGAGCCAAAATAGCTTTCAGATAATCTGTGTCTCTCTTAAAAGGAGAGGGAAGTCACACTAGCACATTTGGCAGCAGGACAGTTCCCTGCTAACAAGCCCCACCGCTACAGCATTCACAATGCGCGCTCCACAGCTCGCCAGTTCTGAGACTCACTTGCAGCGTTTGGGACGAGAGTGTGTGTGTGTGTGACTGCGTGCAAGTGTGTGCCGAGGTCAGGGTTCCCGACCCGGACTGCACCCTGCAATGGTAGGACAGGAGACCAATTGTGTCTGCCCTGACAGCATCTTCTGCCGTTCATCCGGCATTGCTTCTGCTGAGCTCAGTAATGAGACATTTGAGATCACTGCTCAGCTCAGATCAAGGGTCACTCAGTCTGCTGCAGGCGATGTGCTGCTTTTCAGTTCAGGGGGGCCACTTTCACTTTCCTCATTAGGAGAGGCCGCTGGCCATAATGAAGACACCTCCAAGAGCACGCTGTGAGTCAGACATAGCTCTCAGCACTGCACAGGGTTCAGCTGTACTAGGGAGACTCTCCTCTCCTCTAGGTGTGCAAAAGAGCCTTGGATCCCGCGATATGCAATAGCTCTTGAGTCCATCTTAATTTTAGAAGTTAAAATGGTTGCAAAAGTCTGCACCAGTTAATGCAATCAGTGTAGACTTCAGTTTGGGCTCTGCTAAGATTTCCTGTTGTCCTCTCTGGCCCATTCACAAAGGGTCAAATATGCTTAGTTTCCAATATTATCAGCTCATTAAAATATCAGCTTGACTTGGGAAGCAGTTACAATTCTAGACATACATGCAAAATTATTTTTTGATGCGCATATGTTTCATTATTTATTGAAAAGTACAGAAGTCCAGATGCCAGGCGGGACTTGTGGTACGAGCAAAGTAAATACACTGTGTGCAGAAATGATTTCTGCAGCTGAAGTGCCAGTATCCCCACCGGGGGACTGATGCAGAAAAATGGCCATGATTTTCCACTAACGCATCTGCTCCATACACTCCCTTTTAATTTTTTTTCCCTGAGGTCTGTTCTGTAATGGAAACTCACTCATCTCCCCAACCAGAATTCTCCTGGAAAATTTTAGAAATACCCTAGGTGAATTCATTCACCCATCAGTCCTTTCCCGTTCCTTAACACAGAGCAGAGGTGTAAGCAGGAAAGCTGATTCAGCCATGACAGCATTAGAGGTCCGACCTTTGGTTGGTATAAATGTATACAGTTTTTCTCTGGCAGGGGACTGCAAGAACAGCAGATGATAAGCTCCTTCACAGCACTGCATCAGACTGCTTTCCAGTTCAGATTTCTTTCCCGCATTACCAACATCATGAAGATGCTTCAGAGTCACAGAAGCAGTTGAGCTGTTTTCTGCTTTATGCATTATTGCAGGTAGAAGCTTCCCACGAGACGATGCACAAAGAGCAGGCAGAGGCTTTGCTTCAGCACCCAGGATCTGGAGCACGTTCCTTAAGGCTGCAGGCATTCACAGCTTTTCTAATCCAGCCACACAGTCTAGCAATCTGGTCCTTCTAGTATAAAGTGCACTTTGTGGTCACAGAAATACTTTTCCTTTCAAATACTTCTCTTGAACTGTTAGAAGCATGGCTTTGGTCTACAAACACCATCTTCTACTAGAAGTTCACAATTTCTACCTCAAATGCAGGCCTGATGCTGGAAACACAGTGCTGAGAGCCAGTGAAAAGGAAACTCCATTCCCACCTGCAGAGCAACTGCTGCTCCAGCTGTGGGACTACAGATTACTGCTGGCTAACTCAAAATAATGGTGGTGTCTCTTCTCCTGTTCTCCTGCCATTGCAGTCAATACACAAGAACTAGGAATCCCATTATGACTGGCTTAGCATCTCAGACACCGCCGCTTTAGAAGATGAACAAATAACAGCAGAAAATCAAGGAGATGCAGCAACTGATCAGCATTTCTTGACCAATTTTAAAAGGTTTTCTTTCAAATAGAGCTCTC